TTTTAGAAAGGAAGAGAAAGAAAAAACTGCATGTTATTTTACAAAACATATATCCTATTTTTTTTACGTATATACACTATTTTTTATATATATAGTTATTTATATGCACACAAACAAACATGCTCAGCCTCGCCATAGGCTGGACCTGGGGATCCAGAACCACAAAAGCATCACAGCCATTGAGCGGGGCTGGGAGGAACGGCTGCAGAGCCGAAAGTCAGCTCCAAAGGACCAGGAGGGGGACCTTCCTCAGGTGCTGATGTCCACTGACTCCGGCAGCCTCCAACACAGGCAACCTCGGATGTCAACTGCGAAGGAAACAGCAGCACACACGCTTTACCACCATAGTCTAAGACTGCAGCTATAACATGAGTGTTGTGGAAAGGGATAGGCTGGATTATCCACTCAAACCAACCCCATCATGCCATTCCCTCCTCTAACATAATAATTGTGTAAGTGATACTATGGACACCAGAGCTACAGCAGTGCAGGTTCAGGACACAACAGTATCATCATTATGCTACCCCAGAATTTAACCAAGGGCTTCTGAAGGTGACATTTTCTCATAGATATCTGGTAAGGAAAAAAACCCCGAACTCAGAAAAACAGCTTCTGTTAAGTAACTGCCACACAGAAAATGATAAAATGTCTAATATAAAAAAATTACATATTCAGCAATAAAAAAAAAAAAGAGGGAAAGGCAGTGATATGTGCTAGTGCACATCACACCTGTAGACGCTGACATGCTAGTTATAAAGATTCCAAAGGCTATCACACAATTTTTTCTTAAGCTGCATTTAGGTCGTGGAATTGTTTCAGGTAACTAGGTTTCAGCACCAGCAGCATTTATTCTATTTCATTCAGTTTTTTTTTCCCCTTTGGCTTACACATAATAAATAAATTGGACTTTTTATTTCTTTCAGATACATGGCAGATTTGTGATTTCATTTCCTTTACCCATAACTCTGAAAGGGAAAAAAATGAGACCAAGAAGGCATTAATCCAAATACAGTTAGTGTCACATGCTGTCTGACAAATAAAAGTTAAGTATCTAGTGCTGAATAGAATTATTCTTGTCTAGAAGAAACAAGGTCATGCTTGTAAATGTCCAGACATCATTCTGTGTAATATAATTATACTGGCATTTTTATCCCACTTAAACTAAAATTGTTCTTTGGAGTAAGCCTTTATCTGTCAAATTTTCTCCCTACATAAATGTTGCACAGAATTTTAAACATGCTAGAGGTGACATCAAAATGATTAATAGCTTACCCAACCAATAAAGCCCTAATGAGATGAAATATGCAGTACCACATAGCATCATATGCCACGTTTCTTTGAGATGCGTTCCCACGTGAGAAGAACAGTTCAAACACACGCCTTCTGCAAAACGCGCTTCGGCCAAAACCAATGCCAAAAAGGAATTAGTCTGACTCCTCTGCAGAAGGAGCGCTGGAACAGGGACTGCCATTTGCTTCCTCCCAACTGGCCGGGGAGAGGGGGAAAAGCTCCAAATGCATTAAGTATAATGAAATTCAACAATATTTCTTCTCACTACCAATACAACAAGAATACAAATTACAGAACAATATGAAACCATGAAGATTTGTGACCCTGGAGAGACCTACTTTTAAAGTCGGTCTCTAACAATACTTATTGGTGGGCTTATATTAGCCCCACAGTTCTCCGTGGGAGGTTTTCTTAACTCTGTGTATCCCGGCTTTCAGTCAAGGTTTTTATATCCCATATCCAGCACGAGTATAAATACTGCAGTGCAGAGGTATGGCCACCTGGTACAACCCTTCTCCCTCCCCGCCAGGGAAGGTCTTCCAATTTTGCAACAGATTTTTTTTTTCCTCTGTTAGAAATGAACACTATCAGAAGGAGGCAAAGAAAGACAAGGAAACAGTGCAGAGCAGTACCCAGCCCTCCTCCTCCAGGCTTCACTATGCTTAGTAACTCAGAAAGAATATCCCTCCTTTTACCTCCTCCCAAATCGTTGTCTGTCATTCAAGCTCAATGTATCCCAAGTACAATTCCTCAGGCTTTACCCAAGTGAAAAGGGTCAGCACCCACATGGCTTAGGAGATAGTGCAGCATACAGCTGTTTACTGGTGGCAGATTGAGAGCCTGCCCCCCTGAACCAGCACACACAAACACCTAACCCTAACCCTAGGGTCCCTAACCCTACAAAAGATCCTAAACCAATACTTATGAAATGAAGTTTTCTCTGGTCTCCTATGCAGAATCAAAAAAATGAATGCTTCCTGCAGATTAACGTGCTAATGAAAAGCAGTTAAAGACTAGAACTCATAAAAAAAAAAAATTCAAAGTGGGATATTTTTCTATTGGAAGGTTTTGATTTATTAAAAAGACAATTCGTAATTTCCAAAGGATGGTTCAAATTCTTACAGAATGTCTTTTTTTTTTTTTTTTTAATTAAGCCATTTGAATAATGTTTGATAATGGCACATTCTGAATTCTGCCTGAAACGACTCTCCCATTTGCCAGGGATTATAATCTGTATCACTGGTCTCCAATCTATGGGATGCACCAAATTAATAAACATTGCCAGGGGAGATCACAGCAGTGATTATGAGGAGCAGCAGACATGGTAACTCTATGTTCGGAGGGATGCTCAGCCAACATAACACTGCTAGAAGGCAGCTCCGGCAAATTAGGCATCAACAAGTGGGAAAGGGGCTACAAGAAAGAAGTGTTGAGGAGGTGCAAAAGTCAATGAGGTCCAACTGAAAAAAAAACATTTAAGAGCAAAAGGTCTACATATACTTGATCCTGAAATCAGAATTCAGTCGAAAAAGGTCAGCCCAAAGGATCTTGTGATAACTTCCAGTCCCACATTTCTAATATTTTTTGAAGTAAATTAAAGTGTTAAAAGTAAAAGCAAACTGCTTCAACTGGCCTGGGGGGGGAAGGAAAAAAAAAGGGGGGGAAATTTGAAATTTGGCACAACTCACTTGAAGTTTTCAATATTGACATTATAGACATTTCTACAAACTGGAAATTCTAATTCCCATATAATTTTGTTCAGGACTCCTGGCTCTGCCCACATATCTCCTTAAAGAATAACAATTCTCACAGTAAGTTCCAGAAAGGGAAACATCTTTCAAAAGACTATTTCTTCTCCTGTAGGTTAGCCCGAAGACAGTTTTTCTTAACCACCTGACATTTTAAATCAAATAAAGATTTTTACAAGGTATTTGCAGCTTTAAAAATGGCTCATTTTGATACATCCTAACATAGAAATCCCCTGCTGCATTTACTTTGAAGTTTCCTTCACAAAGTCCGCCTTTATACTAAACTTAGTTCAGCTACTCAGATTAATCTCTTTTTTTAAACTCAGATTTTTACATTAATTCTGATTTCATTTAATGTATTAACCAGAAAACTCCAGAATACTTACAGTTTTTAAGCCTAAGCTGAGTGTTTTGAGTTGTAGGATTCATTTAACACACATCAAAAAATAATAAAATCATTCTGCAACTAAGTATAAATTGTAAATCCAACCACAGAATTTGCATTTCGAAGTTATCTGTATTTATAAAACTAAAATAGTCCTGTTCTGCCAATACTCACTTTTTTAAACGTGCAAACTGCAATTTCATTCAATACCCTGCTGTTTATTTTGTTCAACAGTTAGTTCAATTAGAAGTGCACATATTAGTGAATTGCACGAAAGCTATAGAAGCTAAGTAGAGCACAAAGCCTTTGGCTTGGCCAAGGAGAGCTTTGCTAACAGCTGCTATAAAGCCAGTAGTTTAGCTAGCTTATCAAAAGAACTATGAATTAGAGGACAGTCCTCAAAAGCAAACATATCTGTCTGGTCTCAGTTTTGTCTGGATCATCTGCCCTGAGTTGTCAATCCAATAAATTCAGTGTTTTGACTAGAAAACAACATTTTTGCAGTTATTCTCAATTGCTACCTAATATCACAGGATATTATACAATATTAATTCCATATTAATTTATTGATATTAACAGTTCAAGATATTATGTAACAGTAAATACACAGCATTTTAAGTGCAGATTACTTCTAGCAGCAGTAGCCTGTCTCACTGAAATCAATACCTACAACTGTGGATGGCTTAAAGCACACAAACCCTAGAGCTGGAAGCACAAAGCAAAGATTCCCAAGATGGCTTCAGGCTATCCAGTGTGAATCCTTGAAGCGCGTTCACATAGTTGTTTCCCCCAAGAAGGAAGCCCCATTTCCTACCGTCACTGCTACTACACCTAAGCTGGAACAGGGTATTGTATTACACCTTGCAGATTTGCCAGCACAGTCTCATTTCACAGTAGAGGCTCGCCAATAGAAGCTTTACCAATGACTCTCCTGGCAGATACTTGTTTCAAACTTACCTTGCAAATACTCTGGTCTTTTATATTCTTCACAGTCATATTTTCCTTATGATCTCCCACAATAAGTCTACCTGTGGCATTATTATTGATGCTACAGTAAGCACCTAATGTACATTGCACACATTTGCCATACAATGAATCAAAATGACATATCTTCCTCCTTTACCCCTCCATATGTTTTAATCCCAAAAAGGAGGGGGGTTCTGGCATGTTGAGAACACTGCAGACTATACTAAGGCAGAATTGTTTATAGAAGCACACAACTGACTATCAAGGACTTAACTTTAAAACTTAAATTCATATACATTTAATAGAGTATCACTACTAGTCCGTTTTGACCATCAGTTGGTTTTCTTCATTTTTCTCTATTTAGAAAACCAAACAGAAATCACAATGCAAAGCAAAGAGGAATCATTTAAAAATTCAAGGGTTCTGTCAGGTGACCCTCATGGTTCAAATCTCAGGTGCCTGTTTCTCCGCTGTGTTAGACGTTACACAGTCATTTACCCTTGCGTGTCCATTCGGTACCATGTCCTGCCAACTTCTGTGCACGTGCTTAAGTGACAATGTAAGCCAAATATAAAAGCTAAAGTTTTAGGTTTGAACACCTTTAAGAACTGTTTCATAGGATAGAATCACAGGATAATTTAGGTTGGAAGGGATCTATGGAATTGCAGAGCAGGGTCAGCTCTAAAGCCAGACCCAGCTCAGAGCTTTATTCAGTGGGGTCTTGAAGCTCTCCAAGCATGCAGATGACACAAACACCCTGGCCAGCCTGTGCCACCTCTTGGCTGTCCTCAGGGTGAAACAGCTTTTCCTTATATCCTATGTGAACCTCTCTTCTTTCAACCTAAGCCTGTTGTCCCTTGTCCTCCTGCCATGCAGCACTGTGAAGAGCCTGGCTCCATCTTCTTGATACCCTCCTCAGAGATGCAGTTTTGCCCAAGGCTGCCTCTTCTCTGCACATTCTCGACCCTTATTTCCTCTTAAAAAACTGGAATATACACTTTGCCATGATAAAAATTATTCTTGATATACAAATTGTTTTACTGCAAAATTGACTTAGAGCCCTCGGTCTACAGCCAGCAAAGCTGAAGAATTATTCCTCCCACTCTAACCAAGCACAACCAAACACCACACATTTCAGCTTAGTTTTATCTATTGCACTGATTATAATCTTATCTTTGTAACTATAAAAATACTCAAATAAAACAAGGCAGCATGTTTATACACTCTGTCCATAACTACAAATAAGAAATTGCAGTGTGGAGGTATGACAATGCGCAAAATGCATGGAGACCCTGTAAATAAAGTATTCAAATGCCTGTTTTCTTCAACCCTTTATAGCTGTTATTCTTCATCTTACCTGACAAGATTTACCACAGTATTTAGCAACCTTGCACTGAGAGCATCTGTGCAGATGTTCATGCCTGTTTAGAAAAAAAAAAGAAAATCAGTTATAAATTCAAAAAGAGCTTTGTATTTATCTTTCTTACATAACTAGCAATTTTCAAATATTCCAAGGCAAGAAAAATATCTGAAAAACAAGAGTAGTCTTAAATGCACTGTTACACAAGAAGAAATGGTGCATGGTTATGCTCAAAGCTATATTCACAATCCTTTACTCATGTGACTCAGCACCTCTGGGGCCACTTTGGATCAAGAGTAAAGATATCAAATGTGGGGGGTTTTTTGCCATATAGCTATAACCCTGAGGAGTTTGATTTTGTAGATAACACCATAATTAGAGCTGTGCAATACAACTAGTTAATCTATTTATTATGTCTTGAGTCTTGTTTTAAGCAAGCATCATTATCTGTCTTAAGCAAGACCTTGCTGTGAACCTGCAGTTGTGACATAAAATTATAACTATATAACAGAGTCTGAGTTGACATGTCAGCAGACATTTCCGTCTTAAGAAAATATTTCTGACTGGTAGACAGTGAGACAAAAATAAAAATTCATTTGGGGGAAAAAAATAAAAGTCTAGTGAAATCTAGAAGGATAACTACCAGAGCTATATGGCACAATCTAAGGTTAAAAGCACCTCCTGACTCTAATACTATTTCCTGATGCAGTCTTAGTTTAGTTATATGAGTTAAGAAAACATCGCTGAAGTTCTGTTAATTTTTAAACACTATGGAAATATTAGATGTGAAAGCACACACAGAGCAGATCTTACACCTCAAATACACGAGTTCAAGAGGCTTACTTCAGACGAGTAGAAACAAGACATAGATTTTGATGCTCCCCTCTCCTCTTATTTTCCTGTAGAAAATACTGAACACGTTGCATTATTCTAGTAACACTGGGTGGTTTTCACATTGATCTCTTAACCTGCAAAGTTACTTACATGCTTTATGGGCATTCATTAGGCCGGGAAAACAGTATATACTTTTTTGTTGTTGTTAAAACTGAAGGCAGGAGAGTTACATTACAGACACAATTAACTGGACTGTATGGCTGCATAATCCTTATTACTTCCCCTCAGACTTATTCCTGGCCATCCCTCTGACCTTAACCAAGCACAGCACCTCGCAGGGCGCCACTTTTACCTTGTGAGTGGTGCGCGGCTGAATGCAGCTCAGTTACACCCAAGAAACTGTCACCATTACCTACCCCCTTCTCCATCCTTCTGCAAGGCAAGGAAGGAGGTATGCATCAGTCATGCCACTCTCCCCCTCAAAAGGTAATTTTAGTAATGCAATCTTTGTGTTGCTATAGTGCTTTACATTTAGCTGCCTCAAATCTTATTATACAGATTAATTCAGCCTTCCAATTTAATTGGGAGATAACTAAGTGTCTCACACAGCCCATTTCAAACTGAAAGGGCAAGTTCAAACGATCAGATGAAGGACCTTTCCCTCCAAGATTCCCGGTGTCTGCACACCGGTACTAGGTGTGCTCTTTTCACTCGCACGCCCAACTGATGCGACTAAAACAAGGTGTAATTCTTTGTCTCTGCTGACACCAAAATAAAACTCCTCCACTGTCATCAGTAATTTAGAGGCTGCATACCAGCTCAACTGCTTTATGACATGACCTTTCTTCTTTTACTTACACAGCTCAGTTGTCCCCAAATGTTAATTTCTATGGTGACTTCAAAATGGTAGAACACTCTCCAAAGGACACATCAAAAAAAGACAGCACCAACGTGCCCACAAACCTCAGTCTAGAACTTCTGGATGATGATTTTAGCCCACTGATTTCAGCCGTGACGCCAAAACTATCAGGAGTAGAGGCAGAATACCAGAAATACCACGCAGCATCCTCTAGCACCAACCAACCTCTCCTTTCCCTCAAGTCCCACACGTGGGAAAGGTTTTTAGCTAATATATCAACGTATTGCTATGTTTGAATTATTAAAAATAACAGCTCATGCACTATCTTAGGACTCTCATAAGCATTTGGGGAGTTTAGATAGCTGCATTGGTTGAAGATTAAGAGGAGGATTACGTACAGATCATTACAATCAAGTAACAATCTTTTCATTTCTACTGCATAAAAATCAGTATTTTGTTGCACAATATTTTGTAGGCATTGCTACTAACTACCAGGAGAAAAATAAATTAGAAATATTTCAGATGTATTGCTAGTGCCTTCTTTACCTTCCTACCTGCAAAGCCAGCCCTGGAGACTGAAAAAAAAAACTAGCAACTGTTGGATCCCTATAAACAGAATCTAAAATCTTGTATATGCACAATAGCTTTTTGATTTTAAGGTGCAGTGCCTGAGAATGATTCAGAGTTAGAAACAAGTGTGAAATCTTCATTTTGCCAGCTGGTGAGAGCTGCTTCATTTTCAAGGTTGAGCAATGACACAACTTTAACCAGCCTATGATAGAGGAGCACACATTTCTCATTCTAGATTAGAAGCTCATGTCAGAGTAATTTTGGGAAGAAATACACTTCTGTGGAATAATTTCTGTAGGCAACAAAAAACAAACAGAAATGCTGTTTGGACCCGCTCATTGATTTGGATATCAGAAGCAGTCCAGGTATAAATACATGCTCATAAACTACACATACAAATTCTTCCCCACCAAGACAAGTTCTGACACATCTTTTAATACTAAGCAGCACATTGTATCAAGGACATAAAAGAATCATTTATAAGAAATCCACACCTTCTTTCTAGACATTTCACAATCAACAGATTAAATAATAGATTAAAACTTTTCTGAAGCTAGACCTTTCAAATTACTGAAAGAAGACGCTACAAGAACTTTAGCTTGTTTAGCTGTTGCTTTATTACCTTTTGAGTCTGCCAGTGAACCATTCACAACACTGCAGGCAACATTACCACTAAAAATCTGCCTACTGACCTAGAACAAAAAAAGAAAGCCAAGCACCTAGAACTTTGGTTTGCTGTTCAGCTCCCCACACGCACGGCCACAGCCCTTCAGACCGCCACTCTGCAGTGTGTCCCTGTTGCTCTTTACAGGTCTGTTCTACATGGTTGTACAGAACCACAGAGAGCCTCTCTTTTTCTAGATACTTCCTTTGCATTCAACATTCTACATCCATGCTAGCAGTCTCTATCAAACTTCTCTTCATAGTTGTATAGTAGTATCTGAATGACTAAGTGCTTGCCCTACTGGAGAATGACTGAGCAAAACCATTTGGAAGGCAGACTTTTTTTTGTTTTAAATGCTATTCATCAGAACACAGTAATGACTTAAAACTTTGATAACAGAGCATTTGTAACTTCAGCTCCATACACATTAAAGTACCAAAAAGTCTCAGCAGCAACAAGTAAACAGATTCCCAAAGCAGAGTAATTATAACTTTCTGGAGCCAGATTTAAATGAATGAATGCTCATAACTATCAGAGAAGTCTCTCCTACAGATTTCACGTTCTTCCGTCTGAAGGCTAGATCCAACAACCTTAATATACTGCAAGCATACCTTGCCTTGGTATACCTCTTGGTATTTTTCCAAGAGATGCCAGGATTTACTGGAATCATTGGTGTTAAGTCACCAACACTTATTAATTCTTTCTTCTGTAAAACAATTAGTAGACCTGTCGACATAAAGGACCAAACTCCTTCAGCACCCACCGAAGTTTCAATACTTTATAGGATTATTTCCTTTGTATCTTTTGTCCCTAAGGTTAACGATGTTGCAGTAACAAACGCATACATACACAAAAATCTAAGGACCATCACTCAAAACTTGGATTTTTGCCAAACTGACACTACCAGTCAGATTATTTGAATAAGGTGACTCCCTGCTGGGACCGTATAACAAATGAACTATCCATTCAATTTTTGGGGTTTCTTTGAACAACAAGTAGATGTAGAATGCCTGTTACAGAGCTGAATAGTAAAGCTACTAATGAAATCATTGCTTTTTCTTCCAATCCTCTCCTCCCTCTCGGACTAAAAAAATTCCTTTAGATTTATAGCATCTATGAATCTTGCTACATGACATTTTAAATGTAAAACAGCATGATCCAAAACACTTAATCTGAATATAAAGAATTCAGGAATAAGATTCATGTATTCATATATATAGGATTCATGTATTTTAGAACATTTTAAAAAGTGAGACAATTTGCCTAGTTTATTCCTGTCCTTCTCAGTATTTTATTAATGTTATTTGCTTTATTGAAACAATTTTAAAGTCATTGTCAAATACTCCCATGCATTTCTCATTACCTGTAAACATCATCTGAAGATAGTACCAGGTTACTCACAAGGTATTCACTCCCTCTTGCATAATATGACTAATTTCATGGATGAGAAAATGCACAGAATTTGATCTAATGCATTCAGTAATACTTTAATCTCTGAAAAAGTTTCTGCTGCAATAGAAAAGGAAAGAAAGATGCAGCAATTGAAAATAAATTATTAATTTTCCAATACAGCTTCAGCAAGATTTTCCAAACGACCAAAACCCCTTATGAAACAGCCAGCACAAGTGAGGATCTTAGCCTGTACTAAAAAAAAAACCCACAAGAATAAAGTAAGCAGAGGTTGTCAGTTGTCCTCTAGCATGGTGCTATGGTTAGGTGAAGAATCTTTACCCTGAGGAATTTGGATATTACTAATTCTTTTCATCATGATGGTCTACAAACACTATTCACAGAACAAGCTCTCCCAATGCATACTGAGAAGGCAAAAAGATAAACCTGAATATATAGGTGGGTGAGGAAGTCCCAAGGGATTGATATGGACAGGAGACGAAAGAAAACCTATGAGATTGGGAAAAAAATAGTAAGACAGTTCAACTGGAAATGGCACATACACCCTACCCAGCAAAATAACTTTTTTTCCTTTTGGCTTTTTTTAAATTCCTTTTTGTTAAAGGTACAAGAAGTCCAGAGTACTGTAAGGAGGGGCTGACAACAAGTGGTGAGGCAGCTGGGTCTATGGGAAGCTGCTCCCCAAGTATGGGTGGCAGCACGGGAGACAGCATGAAAACGCATGGCTAAAATCCTAAGAATGTGCCAAGCCTGAATCACAGAGAGAAGAGGTTGACAAGGGTTTGGCTGGACTGTCAGGTCCTATCAGAGCCACACCTGCACTCTTACAACGTACAAAACATGTGCCCTTTTAAAAACAGCACAAAATACTTCTATTTGTCAGGAAAGGGCCTAATATAATTTAAAAACCCACAACAAAACCCAACCAAATACAATTAGACTACTTAATTTATAATGAAAATGCGTCTACACTTCTCTGCTGATTGCAGGCACTTGACTTTCAGCCCTACTCACAAGATAAGTGTCAGATATAACAGAATATTTGATTACCAGACTGAGCTCAACACTCCTTCCTATGCAGTTTATTCACACTTCTGCTTCTGCCACAGCTTGCAGGACAAAAGGGCAATCTCACACAAATCCCCTACTGCATTTTTGTTATTGATATTGTTTTTCAGTTAATAATCCAGCCCTATAATACATGTAACAAAAGAGCGGCTCTTACAGACGCATGTCATGTTGAACTAATTTCCTGAACAAATTCTTAGACCTTTGCGATTCAGTCGAACACATCAAGTACATAAAGTCTACTTGGATTTTCTCAAGTGTGTGCATTTCAGACCTGTCACAAAGTGAAAGCAATCAATACCCACAATAAGCAAACATGTCATCCATCATTTTACTAATATGTTTCTGTCTTCTAGTAATAAAAATAAAGATGTGAATAACAAACAGACATTTTAAATTTGGTAGATCTGAGAGCAGAGCAGTTATGTTAAATGCAATTACAACTTTCTTTCCTCACCTCTCTCCAAGCAAAAGAATAATGCAGTCTAGTGGCACAGTTGGTCCCCAGCTGTTACCCCGCTGCTGACCCACGTGGGCACCAGGCACTGCGGGGAGGGGGGCTGGCTCCAGCATACCAAAAGTCACAGCACAGCTCTGGGGACAAGGATGAAGCGTGCTGGGTCCAGGTGGCAACAACCCCAGGGTGTATGCCTCTGCAACATCCCAAATCTAAGCCCTTGGCAAGCAGCACTCCTCCACAGCCAGTGAGCCATGTCCACAGCGTGGGTTCCCAGCCCCTCCGGTGCCCTGGGTGCTGACTTGGGGCAGCTTGGCAGGCTCAGGGCTTCCCCCATTCTCCCCTGCCAGTGCCCTGGACCCACACTGCAATTGCGGATCAGCTGGCAGAGGGGAAGCCACCCTCCACGTGCCCCATGGCCCACAGCCTCTAAAATAAGGCTGCTGGGTTTTTCTACCCTAAGGTTATTCTGTACACTGCTCTCGGGTCCCATGTAACCTGTTGGGTCTGGGCAAACGAGAGTACAACAGGTAAGAAGCCTTTGAAATCTATGTCCCTAAAAGTCATGCAAAAATCTCCCATATTCTCCACTTGCACACTTCATTGTGTTGAGTATATGAATTAATCTTTTTTAACCTAAGAGCAGCACTGGGGAGAAGTAGCTTTCTGAGAGGTAGCAAGAATGACAAATACTTAGAGTTAAAAGATAGTAACTACACCTAACCATCAATGATCAGAGTCACTTACTCAAGCAAGAACTAAGACCTTTTATATAAAGAAAAACACACCTACTTTATTTTCAAATATAATGATCATCTACTTTGTACCTAAACATACTACTGAAGTGGTATTGCATTGTCGGGGGGGGGGGG